GCATCGGTGAGGGGAAAGGGCCCGAGTGCCGTCCCCCGCGCGTCAGAGAAGCCAGGGCAAGGCGGCGTTATAAAAATGTACACTTTATTACACCTTCAGGTAGGATACATCACTACTCCTTACAATCCTACTGGGTCAAGTACAAACGCTTATGTTCGCAAGTTATTTACAGGTTGACTTCCTAACACACTCCTGGGAGAAAGACACATCAAAAGGAAAAAAAAAAAAAAAAAAAAAAAGAAAAAAAGACCAGAAACCCAAAACCGTGATTTTTACCTTCGTTAACTGACCTGAACAAGAAACAATTGCCTCTTTAGACACTAAATCAGACCAGCACAATGATGCAATCAACAGCTTTCCCACCGCTGGAAGCGTTCACACCCCCCCCGACTTTCATGCACATAATAAGAGCTAAACATTTAAAAGCAAAACTGGGGCTAACTAAGCAATATGTTCCGATGAGCAACACTACACGGTACACAGTGTCAGCTATCCGTTACCACTGCATTTGCTTTGCATTTTAAACTATTCCGCTGCCAACGCCACCGGCTTCGCGGCTGGTAATGAAGTTTAGGTTATGGCACAAACCAGTGGTTCGGCAGGGGCAGGGGAATACTACTGCATGCACAAACAGCTTAAAAAAAACCCAACAATGCCCCCAAATTTGCAGACCTGAGGGTCCAAGAAAAAGAGGATGCAGGAGAAAAGAGGTATAAAAATAAAAAAGAAAAAAAAAAGAAGGAAAAAAAAAAAGAGGAACGCTGCCTGACCCAGTGTTTACATTCGTGATCTTGACAGAATGGGCCGTACTGAGAACAGAGGAGCTGCCTGGGTATTCTTTCTTGTTTAAGCCATTTGGACTGCTAGGTACCAATAGGTGTGTACATAGAGGTAAGAACAAAAGATCCGCTTTCCTTGCCTTTAAACAGGCTCCCCTCCTAAAAGAGTAAAAAGATCACAGAAGGGAAAAATAATTTTAAAACCATCTCAGAAAAGGAATGTTATAATTTTGTCTGACTTTCACACGTCGTGCAGTTTTATGGCCAAAGTAAAATAAATCCACTCAAGCCACCAAGAGCTTTTTGATTCCGCACTCAGTACTGTTCACAAACAGAGTCTGTTTTTCACTTTATGCAAGAAAAGTAAAGAAAACCCCCACAGTTCTATGCAGCTTTTTGCTTGTTTTTTTTTTCCCCCCCATAACAATAAGGCAAACTGATTTGGAGGAAGAGGCCACGCTCTACTCACATCCAAAATACCCACCTGAAGATACATTCATCATTAGCTTTAGTAAAAGAATAGTACAAAAGTTAGATCTTATTCTTTACAGAGTTGAAGAATTCTTAGATTTAATTTTATTATTCCCCCCTTCCCCCAGCCCCCCACCCTCCCCAAGCTGAAAGCCGAGTAGAAAGTACTGAACATTTAAACATGTTGCAAGAGCAGAATGAAACTGAGAGATTAGATTTTATCAGCTGGAGAGTTTCCTTGACGGAAGCCCCACGAGAAACAGCTATGGATCATTTGTTTAGCTGTATCCACCGAACAATTCTTAAAAAAAAAAAAAAAAAAATGGGCTACACTTTAATACACATCTACTATCAACACAGTATTTACTCAGTTCATGCCTAAAATATCCATTATCTTAAAGTGAAATATGAGAATGACCACACAGGTTGGGTGATTCAGTAAACTGTACACAAAACTACTAACAAACATTTTAAAAGACTTACAAAAAATGGAGAATGAAACTTTTTTTCCTTTTTAATTACATATACTTACAGGTTTTCACATTTATTGGCTAAACTTTGCAGGGAGCACTTCAAATATCAGTTAGATCTTCCAGAGGTATTTACCTCAAGCAAGAACACCACGCAGCTTTTATACAGATGGAAAATACTTTGCTATATTGGCCTCGCTTGGTTCTTTGAACGGCTTCACCGTGGATACCGAGCGCACACCCAAGCTATAGCAAAGAACTGCATATTCCCACGGGCAGTTTATGGTACGCTAACATAGATGAAATTTACTGGCATTTATGGCATATTACCATTTTACTTTTGTGAAGCTGGGCAGAATTTAAACGTAAGTAATGTTTGCTTTATCTGGTTTGAATGAGCACAGAAAACACTGGCAGAATGCATCTTGTACAGATTTTGAGTGCTGAACAGTTGTTAATACGCTGAAGTTATATGTGAGTTTCCATGTTTAAATGTTCACCAGCAAAAAACCCTTGCTGCTAAAAAAAAGAAATAGAGGTGGTTTGTCTTCATTTGGATGTTTGGAGCAGCTTCTCACTTGGCTTAGCAAACAAGAAATGCTGTGTTTCCCTGTTATTGCATTTTAATCATTAGTTCAACTTGGTTTAGTAGGTGCCTTTAATCTGACAGTAGGCGTTCTCATTTGTACTTTCGCTTGCTGATTCTGGGCTTCAGATGTTGCTGGTGTCTGGGCTGGATTCTGTACACCTGGAGCCTGAATCTGGGGAGATGCGGTTGTCACAACTTGCTGTTGTATCAGTTTCTGTTGGACGACCTGAGCAGTAGCAGTTGTTGCAGGAATCACCTGAACCTGCTGCTGACCTGCTGTCGTCTGAGAAAGCGTCACAGTTTGAGGCTGAGCTTGTACCTAGACGTTAGGGTGACAAGGCAATTACAAAATAAGAGTTTGGCATTAAATTAAGCATTCATTACATTTCCACTCTGCAGAAGGCGTCTTGCTTCTGCAAGCATTTGCTCTCTTGACTGACGAGCATCTTGGGCAAAGTAGTAAGGCTGGGAGGGATTCTGGGAACACAGGTTCTGCGGTTTCACTGAGAAACACTGTTCTGTCACATTTTCTAGAGCCTTACAAATCAGAACTAAGAGCCAAGATGCCTGTAACTCAGATCTCTGCAGTGCAAATCACAGGACATTCCCCCAGATCCTTTACAGAAGATGGAAGGTAAAAAAAACCCCACTGGATAAACAGGAAAATTCCTGTACTGCAGGAGCAGAAGTGAAGGAACAGGGAAAAGAACAGAGGGATAGATGGAAGATCAAAGAGGTTAAAATGCTGACTTTGCACCCCTACTGTGACAGTAAACACAGCCACTGAGGCTTCCTACCAGTCTCTGACATTACCCTTCCAGACTACAGCTGCCAGTCTCTATTGCCAATTTAGGGTACAATGGTTCGAACTCCATCCAGAAGTCTAATTTTCCTAGCTCTACCCAGAGCAAGGGGAAAAAAATTCAATGTCTCCTTGTTTAGAGGACAAGGTAATGAAAACTGAGAAGCTTCAGCTGCCTTTGTCAGATGCAGAAGCCAAATGAAGCTGCAAGGGCTTCTCCAGAGGAAAGTTAACTCTTGACCGACCCAAGAGGAATCCACTGGGAAGCACTCAAAATGCAGGTAAAAAGAATGCCACATACATATCAAGACCACTGTTTTAAAAATACTTAGCATGGCCTAATCCTACTGCCACGGATGTCACTGGAGTGCGCGTGAGGGGAGCTGTTTATTTGTCTTTTTTACCATGGACTTCAACAGTCCCAGAGTTATGCCAACATCAATGACTTTTGAAAATCTAGTTTTTAATGTCCCTTGAAAAATTATCTAGGAGCTCTTACTGACTACAGAGGACAAGTCAACTTGTCTTGACTGATGAGGTTTCTGCTCCCTGCTGTCTACCTTGTCCTTGAAGCATTCACATCTGAGGTGGTCATCAGTCAGCTTACACCACTTTATCATCGTTTTAAGATAAACAGTCACAGATTTTATTCTGCACTAAAACACTGCACTATAAACTGCGACAGATTAAGAGCCGATTGGCTCAGATTTTTGTGCACCAAAGGCAATAACTTCATCCACTGTCCGAAGTTAAATTAGTCCTGCCAATCAACAGCATAATTTATGCCCGTTGATAATGGTCTGAATCACATTGTTCTAAGCAGTGTTAAATGAACTGCCTGGTGCTTGGGGGAGGGGAAACCAAACCGTCTGACCTTCCCTTGCCCCAGTCCCGCCTGTTACCGTACCACATTCAGAACAGATACCACACCATTATGACTTCTACAAAGCACTTGGCACAGCTTTAGGAACTGGAACAAAACAACTTGTAACTCTCAATTTGTCCCAGTTTTTGTAGAACAAACTCAGATGGCGCTCATTAGTTAAATTATTTGCTATCTTGACTGTACATCACAAGGAACCAATTTTTAAAAATTATTTCAGTCCTACAAAATATTTTCTAAAATCTGTTTTTCAGCTTACCTACAGCGATGAACAAACATTGCTCTGTCTACCAAGGTTTTAGTCTAGAGAATGACAGCTGACTCAGTATTCACATGATCCATTTTTATAGAAGGATACTTGCTATATGCTTCAAAAATACTGCTTATGCCACAAGTAAGGTGAAAAATACACATATTCCCAATAAATGAGCTTTCAGTAGGATCACGTTTCTAGTGCTATATGTGACAAGCGCAAAACCTACCTGTTGGGAAACTGAAACCATCTGTTGAATGTTGGCGACAGTAGCCTGTTGCTGGACCACTTGTGGAAGCTTTGCAACCTGTAGTGACATGAAATAAAGAAAGATTTGGTAAAAAAAAAAAATTGCTAATAGCAGGAAAACACCATACCTATCAAAACTGCTACTAAGTGAAAACCCTTCCGAAGTCCTGTTCATGGTAAGTTGGAGCTTAGCATTCTCAGTGATACTGAACTTTCAAAAAACTATTTAGATCAGTGTATTGAAGAACGTAGTTAGAAGAGGAAAAGTCGTATTTTCGATTTTAATGGCAACATATTCATTTCCTCCTAACTATATGTAAAATTGAAGGAAGCACAGAAGTTTTAATGGGCTACGTTATCTTAGATACACTTTTGAAACAATAAGGCTTCCAATTCCTAACCCCCTTCTTTTTCCTTGGTTAGACTGATCCAGTTATGCGGAAAAGAAGATCATAGAATCATAGACTTGTTTAGGTTGGAAAAGACCTTTAAGACCATCCAGTCCAACCATTAACCTAACACTGCCAAGTCCACCATTAAACCACATCCCTTAGCACCTCATCTGCCCGTCTTTTAAATACCCCCAGGGATGGGCACTCCACCACTTCCCTGGGCAGCCCATTCCAGTGCTTGACAACTCTTTCAGTGAAGAAATTTTTCCTAATATCCAATTTAAACCTGCCCTGGTGCAACTTGAGGCCATTTCATCCTATCGCTTGTTACTTGGGAGAGGAAACTGACATCCTACACTCTCCCGTCAGGCAGTTGTAGGGAGCAATAAGGTCTCCCCTCAGCCTCCTCTTCTCCAGGCTGAACCACCCCTGTTCCCTCAGCTGCTCCTCATAAGACTTGTGCTCTGAACCTCTCACCAGCTGATAACTGAACTGTCACCTACTCTTGGCTGCCAGAGATTAGGCTGGGAGGCAGCATCAGAAAACAGGAAGAACTCTGGCTGAATTTTCCTTAGTAAACACAGTATGGAATCCCTTGCTTAATAAAAAGAGGAAAGGCGAACTTACAGCTTAGGTATTTCCTCTGACCTGCTATAAGGCCACCTATTCAGCACCAATTAATTTTATTATAAAGTCAGTTTAAACAAATGTGTGACTAGAATTAAGATGAGTGGGTGCTAAAATGCTACATCACCTGTCGTCTTTACAATTCTCCAGTCACAGCGGAGTTTAAATGTGTAAACCTGTGTTACCTGTACCTGAATCTGGGCCTGCACTTGCTGGGTTCCACCTGGTTTCTGGGTTTGGGAAATTGGAGTTGTTAAAAACTGTGTTTTAATGGCAGGCTGTGTAGTATAAGTTACTTTTTGTTGCTGTGAAGTCTGCTGTTGGGTTTGGACCGTAACCTGTTGAGCATTTATCTGCAGAAGAGAAAAGAAGGCATCAATGTCAATAAAATACATGCGTATTTTAAAGCTAACAAGACTAATTACATTTAATTATTGAAACAAAATCCTCCCAGTATTAGCAATACCAAAATGAGCACTAGACAAAAGCTTTCATACACTTATACAAATATTCTGAGTCACTGAAAGTATCGACTGAAAGGTTCTCTTACACACATACACACATACATGCACTTCACATGACAATGCCCATCCAAAAAACCACACTGGTGGCTGATTGACAGCAAAGCCCATGAGAACATGACATTTCAGGAAAAAGTATATTTTGCACAAATTATATTGTAAACAGTGAAAATCTCTGTGAATTTTCCACATTTGGTTATATTAGAAGCAACTAAAGAGAATCGTAATCTTTGTTACTTAAAAAAGAAAACCCAGTTTGGGGCATTAAAAAAAAAAGAAAAAAAAAATCACACCAAACATCTGCCTTATTGAAAAAATCATTAAGCACCTGACAAGGCATATGAGAAACCGTTCTTTCCAGATATACTTAAGACTCACCCCTAGAGACACTGACCGACTCTCTACGAGTGTCCTCATAATTCAGAGCTGAAGCTTTACAACCAGAGAAGCACGGCATAACTCAGTGGGAGAGCAAACAACAAGTACCTTTTGTTGCACAGTAGCTTGACCCTGTGCGACCTGAGGCTGGATAGCTTTCTGTTGCTGTGCTGCTTGATGATGCTTGAGTTTTAGAAGCTGCTGGACATGCAGTGGCTGTGCAACTACCGTCTGGCCTCCTGAAAATTACAAAAATAATTAGAACTGTAAGAGTCTTCATTTTATTGCTTTGTCCCAGTAATCGCAGCTTGCAAACATAGATTGTGCTTTTTATAGACTTACACATCTGCATAGCTTTGAGCACTAATAACCCACTGATTTTAATGGGAATAAGACATATGATTCTGACAGTGGAGAAAACACCATTCTGTTATCTAAGGGCATGAGTAAGCTTTGTGTTCTAACAATAATCTTCCTACAGGAAAAATTCTGTCCATACTACAGGAGACTCATGAAATACAAGTCTTCCTATTGCCATTTTGCATTTTAAAAAAAATTTTGAAAACACTGTCTTTATCTTTAAAACTCTATCTGCTCGCCTACTATCATGCACAGGTTAAAAAAAAAAAACAAAACCACCACCAAACCAATGACGTCTGGCTAAAGAATCATGCTAACCTCCAGAAAAAGTGTAATTCTCTTTACCTCATTTTTGAAACAAATGTGAATGCAAACTCTATCACTTTAGCTTTTAAAACCCATGAGTGTCCCCCGGAAGACATTACTTAAAACATCCTACCTTTAAAAGAGTGGTATTTAAAATTTTATTATGCTTTAGCATGTCTGTTGACATACCTGCTGCTTTCTGTGGCTGCCCAATGGCAACACTAATGCCTGCAACAGTAACGGGGAGCGTTGTAACTCCTGCAGATGACACAACAGCAGCTGGAACAGACACCACCGGAGGCTTTGCCAAAGCAACCTGTGCTGCTTGCGGAGTTTGGGCCTGGATCTGTCCTTGTGCTTGAAGCTGGGAAGCAGGAACACGAGTCTAAGCAGTAAGGAATGAAGATTATTGTACCGGTACAAAAAATATTTGCTGCATATAACAGGTCATTATAAAGTGATAGTTGTAAATGTTTCTAAATATAATTGCTCCTTTACAGTAATAGACTTCAGACATGGTATCAGTGGGTAAGCGCAATTTAAAGCTATTTATGTTACAGCTGTATCTTTTGTACTGCTAAGTAACGCAAAGGGCACTTGTGTGTGTGAATGACCAGCATCCAGTTCATTTAAACCACTACAGAGAATAAGGTGTTTAAGACTCTTTTTGCAAAGTCAAAAAACAACTTACAAGACGAGCAACTTGCAGGTTGGTCACAGCAGTGCCTGTGAGAACCGCACCAGGACGAGGTGCTGTAACAGCAGTGAGTTGTTGAGTTTGCTGTTGCTGCTGCACTTGCACTTGTGCTGTTTGCTGTTGTGCCCCTTGCTGTGTCTGCTGCGCTGCCTGCTGCTGAGGAAGCTGAAGTTTCTGCTTCTGCAATTTGATCAGCTGTTCCTGCAAAAATCAAACACTTCCATCATTTCCAATCTTTTAAACAAATCCAGGAAAAAAATGGAGATGAATCTGGAGCTTTAAAGGAGAAACATTCTATGCTAGACAAGATCAAAGAGCTAAGAATGCAACTTCTTTACACAATGGGTTGCCAGTGAATAAGTAAACCCTTTGCATCCTGACCTCCTACAATACTGGTACTGTTTGAAATGGCTGTCAGACTCACCACCTTCATGGAATTTTAGTAGGATCAAATTTAAGAAAGAGCTACATTGCACTCTAGCCCAAGAAAACAGGATACAAGACACACTGCTAGTGATGCTTGCAATAACAATGAGAGTAACACATCAC